TGGTCAGGACGACAATATGAGACAGAGCTGAAATACTGCTAACGATGATGGCCTCTCTCATTCCAAAGGGCAGCATGGTGTAAGCAGTGAAAATTATGAACAGAAAGAACGGGACCTGTAAAAAGAAACAAGGGAGGGTCTCGGTTTTGAATTCTTTTTCCCCAAGCGGTGGTAGAAAGCGATGTCAAGTGGCAGCTGACTTATGGCGAATCCGTAGAGCTTTCAAGCCAAGAGACGTTCAGAGGTGGTATTGCCGTAATTACCTGCCTTGGTGTAGCAACCCTGGCCTTCCTTGGTGGTCTCTCATCCAAGTACTAACCAGGGCCGACCCTGCTTAGCTTCCCAGACCTGACAAGGTCTGGCTAGCCTGGGCCAAGGCTTTTTCCAGGTACCCATCCAAAATTTTTGGGAGCAATGTTGGATAAACAGCGGAAAGCACATGAATACTGAAAGTCCAACTCCCTGTCCCAAACAAAACCCCTGTAAAGAAGCAATGGGCACAGAAACTTCCTAATAATTCAGTGAAATAGAAGTACATAGAGCCCAGTTTCTCAAATGGCTAGGAAACGCATAAGTTATTCTGCTTGTCAAAATTCCCGAAATTCCATTATGCTGATTTATACTGACATGAAACCACTGCATTGGGGAACAGACAGGGAACCGTGGAGGAACATAGAAAGAATTGGAAGACCAAGATTTAGATAATTGTATGGACTTATTTGTAGATATTCAGAAATCATTTACAGAAACTTATACGTAGATCTACCACCAGTTATAATTTTGTGTGTGTGTGTGTATATATATATATATATATATATTCTTTTTTTAAAAAGCCTTATTTTGCTGCTGGATTTTAAGTCGTCCCCCCCTTGTTCTTTTTTGCTGAGTTATTTTTTTAAAAGAAAGGGTTTTTTTAAAAAAAAAATAGATAATTGTGGCCTTACATACTGCAGATAAAGTGAAATCTAGCATCAGTAGCAAGACATCACGTCATTGACAACTGTTATCATAACGAAGTTTGAATCCAGTGGCACCTTTAAGACCAACAAACACCGAGAGCTAGTTTGGTGTAGTGGTTAGGAACACGGATTGTAAACCGCTCCCAGACTCCTTCGGGTAGTGAAGGGTGGGGTATAAATCCAATCTCTTCTTTTCTTCTTATTCTGGGTATAAACTTTTGTGTGCAGATCTGTCTCAGAGCGGCTTACAAACTCCTTTCCCTTCCCCTCCCCACAATAGACACCCTGCGAGGTAGGTGGGGCAGAGAGAGCTCTGACAGAAACTGCTCTTTTTTCAAGAACAGCTCTTATCAGAACTACGGCTTGCCCAAGGCCATCCAGCCAGGTGCAAGTGGAGGAGTGGGGAATCAAACCCGGTTCTCCCAGATTAGAGACCCCGCACTTAACCACTACACCAAACTACACCAAATACCAATGGGTGCCCTAGTTAGTGAAATATGGATAACCTTTTGAATATATGCCCCAGACATACCCAGGTCTCGCTTGTGTTACTGAAGGTACGAGATTTGGATGATGCTGTATTTTTTAATTTCATTTATACCCTTCTTTTCTCACCTGTGGGGACCCTCCTTCTTTGTGGGCTCTCCTTCTTTGGAGGTTTTCAAACAGAGGCTCGATGGCCATCTGACAGCAATGCAGATTCTGTGAACTGAGGCAGGTCCTGAGAAGGGAGGGCAGGAAGGGTTGGCTCAGAGCTTAGTTCTTATGGCCCAAGGAAATGCCAGTCGCCACTTTGGGGCCAGGAAGCAATTTTCTCCAGGCCAGGGATCCTGGGTGGGTTTTTGTGGGTTTTTTTTTGCCATCTTCTGGGCATGGAGCAGGGGTCACTGGGTGTGTGGGGGGGAAGGTATTTGTGAATTTCCTGCATTGTGCAGGGGGGGTGGACTAGATGACCCTGGAGGTCCCTTCCAACTCTGTGATTCTATGACCCAAAGTGACTTACAACCGTCTCCTCTGCTCCATTTTATCCTCACAACAACCCTATGAGGTAAGTTAGGCTTTCCTTAATTTTGTGGTAAGAGGTAAGAATTTTCCTCCCGGGGGGCATTTCCATCTCATTTAAATCTTGTACAATCCTATATGAAGAAAATACAAAAATATTTTTAAAGGAAATATTGGTAACATTTAAGAAAAAACAACCGGCATGCCAGTCAGAGTGTCGGCTTAGGACCGGCGAGACCCAGGCGCCAGGCCTCACGAAGCCATTCAGCTCAATCAGGCGTTGTCTCGGTCTCAGCCTAACCTACCCCACAGGGTTGTTGTTGCTGTGAGGGTAAAATGGAGGAGGGCAGAACAGTGAATACTACCTCGGGCTCCTTAGGGGATGGGCAAGAGAGAGGTCGGCATATTGTAAAAGTTTCCCTGCGGGGTGTGGGACACTTTAAGCTCCTTGTCTCTAGGCCAGGCATACCAAACAATGCCCTGACCTGGATAGCCCAGGCTAGCCCGATCACATCAGATCTCGGAAGCTAAGTGAGGTCCGCCTTGACTAGTATTTGGAAGGGCGACCTCCAAGGAATACCAGGGCCGTGACGCAGAGGGCAATGGCAAACCACCTCTGAAACGTCCCTTGCCTTAACAAGTCTAGCTCGCCACCTAATGCTAAAAGACCTAGAACTTCCGGCTGCCAGACAGTCTTAGGATCTCCTGGCTATTCTACACACAATGCCGTACGATAATAATTACAATTACCAAATAATCACATTCTATTATACCCAAACACACACAAGGACAAGTCTTAAGTTCTTCCTGTCCATCTCATCAGTTCCTTGTTTTCTCTATTGATTTTGACAACCATTTCTCCCAAGAGAGAGAGCCAGCATGGGGTAGCAGCTAGAGAGTTGTATTAAGCTCTGGTTCGAATCCCCGCTTTACCATGGAGGCTCGCTGGGTGACCTTGGGCCAGTCACACACTCTCAGTCTAACCCACCTCACAGGGTTGTTGTGACAGTAAGAACGGAAGAGAGGAGAAGGAGGTAAGTCACTTTGGATCCCCGCTGGGGCGAAAAGTAGGGTCAAACTGAAGGAAAAAACACACGGTGGGTGCATTCAGACGCACCATTTGATCTGGTGCCGTGACAGTTCAGCAACAGATTTGATATGCACGATCACACGGACAACATCTGCCTCCCGTCCCCAGCCATTGGTTTCCGGCTCAAAACCACTTTAACCCGGAGTATTTTGTTACCAGGTCCCAAAGTGGTGTTTTCTCAGCTCTCCCATTTAAAGCCGCATTTCCCCCCTGTGTGATCGCTCCTCCGGTGTCAAGCCACTTCTGATGATTTAAACCCCCTCCACACTCAAAAGCTGCCCGAGGCTTCCGCTTTTCACCCGCCATTGGCGGTGCGCGCATAGGCGGAGCTCCGCTACCGTGTTTAGAAAACCGACATTTAAACGGTCACTTGTTTTAGAGTTTAGATGAGTTCGGGATCTCACGGAGGCCATTTTCGGGTCACTTCAAATGTTTAAACGGAAGTCTTTTGTTGGAGGGGTTGGATTGATTCACCCTGGTGGTTCTGCGCATGCGCCATGGTAGTTTCGCCCCCCCCATTCTACGGATGAACACTTATGCGCATGCGCAAACTGAGAAAAAAATTAAAAAACGGGCGGCACCCACTCCCGCACGTCGGTAGTGTAGACGCCGGGGAGTGACGTGACTGCGCGGTGAGGCGAGATAAGGGAGGTAAGTGAGATCACGATTATCCAGATCAAATATAATCCGGTTAGAACCGAAGCAGTTTAACCCGCTCTCAGCACGCCGTCTGACCGCACCCAGAGAGAAGAACTATAACTCTCACTGTGGCCCCTACCTGCTGGTAAGGAAAGCAGCACTCATTTCTTAAATCAACTAAATGTTCTCCCAGGCCTGAAGCTACAGTGGGGCATTTCGGGGCCTGGCCCCCTGACTTCCTGCCAAGCCCCCCCAACTTCCATCCAGCCCCCAGGCTCTCTGGGCCACCTGGAGGACTCCCCACCATCACCCCTTCCCCAAGCGGGGCTTGCTTCCCCACGTAGGCAAGCGGAGTGCGAACGCCAAAATTGTGAATTTTGAAATTTTTATTTTTATTTTATTTTGTGACGTCCGTGCCCCCTGATTTATTTAAAGGCCCCCTGAATGACAAAATCCTGGCTACGGGACTGTGTTCTCCTCTCCTGCAGGTGTTTAAACACACCGTCTTTTCCCACAATGAGCGGTTATTTGAGAATATATCTCTAAACTGGCAGTACTGGGGTTCTGTACGGATTTTTAAAGCAGGGATCCCAGTTTAAATCCGTGCTCCTTTGCACCCTTTGAAATCAAACTCCCTTCTTTTATGTTGGGTGTTACAAGTCAACACACTTCAGTATTCACAGGGTTAATGACGTTTGTTAAGTCACATGTTTGTTTGTAACCAATCTGTTTAGACAACAGGATGCCCGGGAAATTTGGAGCTAACTTGCTAGTCTGATTGGAAACCAATGTGTCAAGTATTTAGCATATTGGCTTCTCTTTCCTCGCTTTGTTCTGACTGAGAAGGAGACGCCAGTCTCTTCCCGTTTTACCTTTTAGCTGTAAGGATGTAGCCATATTAGCTCTTTGTTATTTTCCTATCCTGTGTACCTTTTCCTATGTTAGGTTTATAGTAAACTTTTATAACACACCATGGACTCAGTCTCTTAAAACTCTGCTGACTTACTCAAAAAGAATCCCAACATTTTAAAGTGCAGGGCTTTTCTCCTTTAAACTGTTAACAACAAAGCAGGAAGCAATTTGCGTTTTATAGTTGGAGCAAGACCATGTCTCACACCCATCTGAGCAACTAAGCGGCCAAGTTCTCTGGGTGGGTTTGGCCAGCCACCGTTTCATAGTTTGACTTTCCTCACCAAGTGGTCATAAGAATAAAAGTGGGGTGGGGAGGAAATCGTGTCCCCAACCCGGGGGCACCTTGGGGGAAGGACACACTGACGGATCACACGGTTTCGTTAACGTAAATACCTGTTCCCATGCTGCGACTTGAGCTGCTTGTCCCTTATCGAAAACAGACACGTATCCTAAAACCAGCAGGCAGATCCAAATCACAGCCGCAAACAGCTTCAGCCGGCACCAGAATAAAGATTCAATGTAAACCAGAACGTAGATGACGATAAAGATCGCCGAAGCCATGCACACGGTAACAGTGAAGGTCAGGTGTTCACGTGGATCCTGTACAAAAACAGAAAGTCACAAGGCACTCACTCTAACCCGAAGCCAACCTCACAGAAATCTCCAGACGTTTCCCCTAGATCAGTACCTTACATAAACCAGTACAGGCTAAAAAGGCACTATTGACAGGTAAATGCAAAAATTGCTGTCTTTTGCATATTAAAGAAGCATCCTCAAGGCTATTTAACAGCTGCTGGCAGATCTCTGCTAACCTTGGGAAACCACTTGATACTCCCGTATTACAGTAATTTCTGCAGCATGGCTCTGCCCTGGAACTAGGAAGGGGGGGTGGGGGAGGCTTGCTAGGCTGAGCCTTTAGAATTCAGCAAAGAGGACTGTCACAGACAATTTCCTCTCAACCCAGCACTGTGGGGGCAGGAGGCACGACTTACACTGTTCCCTCCCTTTTATCCTCACAGCAACCCTGCGAGGTAGGTCAGGCTGAGAGCGTGTGACTGGCTCCAGGCCACCCAGCAGGCCTCCATGGCACAAGTGGAGATTCGAACCTGGGCATCCCAGATCCTAGCCCAACACTTAAACCATTACACCACGCTGGCTTCCCTTCTCTCCCCTGCCAGGATAACTGTAAATATTTTTCACTCCCCCCTTCTACCCAGACTGTTCTCTCCCAGCGGACTGTAACACTGTTTTAAAACAATCCAAGTTCCATTTCCTTACTGAGTATCTGGAGTCAGCTGAGCCATTCCTATGAACAGTCCTATATTTTAACACAGCTCAAACCTTAGAACCAGACTCTATAATATACTACTATTATTTAGAAGAAGAGAAGAGGGAAGAGATTGGATTTATACCCCGCCCCGCCCTGCACTACCCGAAGGAGTCTCAGAGCGGTTTACAATCTCCTTTCCCTCCCCCTCCCCACAACAGACACCCTGTGAGGTAGGTGGGGCTGAGAGAGCTCTTTCGAGAACTGCTCTTGAGAGAACAGCTCTGAGAGAACTTGTAACTGACCCAAGGTCACTCCAGCAGCTGCATGTGGAGGAGTGGGGAATCAAACCCGGTTCTCCCAGATTAGAGTCCACACTCCTAAATTAGTGCAGTCCCTTCGACAAAGAATTAACGGTCATAAGCAGTGTTCCCTCTAAGCTGAGTTAGTGTGAGCCAGCACACAGTTTTTTAGCCTCTGGCTCACACTTCTTTTTTGCCTCAGCTCACGAAGGGTGGCTCCAGAGCAAACTAATTTATGCAGTAGCCAAATCAGCTCGCTCACAACTTTAATGCCAGTAGCTCACAAGGTAGAATTTTTGCTCACAGGACTCCACAGCTTAGAGGGAGCACTGCTCCAGACGAAGCTAATTTATGCAGCAGCCAAATCAGCTCGCTCACAACTTTTTTTTTTTAAGTTTTATTTAAGTTTTCCAGCAAAAAATAAAGTATACAACTTTTACATTTGTAGTTTTAACATCCTGGCGAGTCTATTACAGAGTTTGGTTCTTTACTCATTTATAGAAATCTGCCCATCTTTCTTTAAACACCTTATCATCTTTCCTTTGCAAAATTATTGTTAATTTGTCCATGGACAAGCTCGCTCACAACTTTAATGCCAGGAGCTCACAAGGTAGGATTTTTGCTCACAGGACTCCACAGCTTAGAGGGAGCACTGCTCCAGACGAAGCTAATTTATGCAGCAGCCAAATCAGCTCGCTCACAACTTTAATGCCAGGAGCTCACAAGGTAGGATTTTTGCTCACAAGACTCCACAGCTTAGAGGGAGCCTAACCACTACACTGAAGCTTTATTAGCCGTCTTTCTACCTTGTGGGATTCAAGGCAGCTTACAATATCAAGAAAACGACAACGATTAAGGCACATACAATTTAACACAATTTAAAAACACATTTTAAAATCCCAACTGGAACCACCAATGCAGAGAACTATCTAGGAGGGGCTGTGGCTCAGTGGAAGAGCCTCTGCTTGGCATGCAGAAGGTCCCAGGTTCAATCCCCAGCATCTCCAGTTAAAAGGACCAGGCAGTAGGAGAAAGACCTCCACCTGAATCCCTGGAGAGCCACTGCTAGTCTGAGAAGACAATATTGACTTAGATGGACCAAGAGTCTAATTCTGTATAAGGCAGCTTCATGTGTTCAAAACTAACTTAGTCAAGTGCATTCCTATTCTTTAACAAGAGAGCCAGTTTGGTGTAGTGGTGAAGTGCGCGGACTCTAATCTGGGAGAACCGGGTTTGATTCCCCCACTCCTCCACTTGCACCTGCTGATGTGACCTTGGGTCAGTCACAAGCTCTGGCACAGCTGTTCTTGAAAAAGAGCAGTTTCTGTCAGAGCTCTCTCAGCCTCACCTACCCCCCAGGCAGTGTTCCCTCTAAGCTGAGTTAGTGTGAGCTAGCTCACAGTTTTTTAGCCTCCAGCTCACACATTTTTGTCTTAGCAAGGATGGCTCCAGAGCTAACTAATTTATGCAGCAGCCAAATCACTTGCTCACAGCGTTAATGCCAGTAGCTCACAAAGTAGAATTTTTGCTCACAAGACTCCACAGCTTAGAGGGAACACTGCTCCCAGGGTGTCTGTTGTGGGGAGGGGAAGGGAAAGGAGTTTGTAAGCCGCTCTGAGACTCCCTTGGGTAGTGAAGGGCCGGGTATAAATCCAATCTTTCTCCTTAAATAAAACTGTCAACTGACTCCTGAAGAGCTACTTCCTTATCATCACTTAAAACACATGCGCCATCTATGCATCCCCCTTGGCAAAGCTCTTTCACTCCCGGAAAAAACCCAACTTTGTTACTCTGATGTTCTGTCACTCCGGTCAGAAGCTCCCTTTCTCTAAGAACGCTGCAATGGCAGAAACAGAACAAAACAACAGGCTCCTGCGACGCCCGAGAGCCAAGACCCCTTTACATTTGGATGGCCTCTGCCTATTTGTCTGTTTAAAGGGAAAAGGGAAAAGATACTCACGTCCTGGGTGCAAAGGACCACGATGAGCGTCACGCAGTAGGCAAAGACGACACCAAGCAGGAAGAGGAGGAGAGGATGCTGCTGGCTCGAGTAGCGGTACTTCTCGTACAGGGGGTCCGTGATCTTGCAGTCGCCGTCGCTTTCGTGGAAGAAGTATTTGCCTTTCGCGGGCATCTTAGTCTGTGTCCGGCTCCGCTCCCGCCGCGGGCTACGCAGGGCTGGACGGAAGACACGGGTGCCCGCCGCTGGTCAGGTTAGCACCAGGTCTGCCTCCTCCGGCCGCATGGCTCTCCTCTTCTTATACGCGCCAAGTCCAGACCTTAGCATAAACGGGACGGGGGCAGCCTCCGCCTTCTCCTCCTCCTCCACCGCCACCCTGAAGCCATGTGCGACTCATCAACAGTGCCGCGCAAGGGTTGCTTGCCTTCCCCCTCCCCGCTCTTCTCCTCCCTAGACTTGATCGCGACTCATGCCGCTGACAGGAGGCCGTCCCTGTTTTGCCACACTCACTCCAACATCTTTCACAAGCTGTCAGCGGTCCCCCTAGATTAAGGCTTTGTGCGACAAACTGGAGAGAGAGAGAGAAAAGAGAGGGTTTTTTAAATACATTGCAGGCGTGCTTTTGTCTGCCAAAAAAAATAAAAGGTGTCTGTTCTTCAGACCCAAGGTAAATATTATTTAACAAGAGCAAAACTCTTTTTCTCACAAGAGGAATGAGTCACAACATGTCTCCTTCGACGCGACGTTCCCTCCGCTCCTGACAGAATACTGTAGCATTATGGTTACCAGTACGATTATTAATAACGTTTCTTTTTTGCCTTCCCCACTATTACAACGTGCAGAACGGCAGCGCTTCCGCAAGCTGTGACAATGCCCGGAGTACACCCTTTCAAAGGGCTGTGAAAATACATTTCCCATTCTTAGCAGCCAGTCCTATACGGGGATGGAAAACGGGCTTGTCGCCACGTAAGTAACACAGTTTCACAGCCAGAGACGGGTCTCGGCAGGATATTTGGGGCAGTTGCCTCAGAAGAAGAAGAAGAGATTGGATTGATACCCCGGCCTTCACTCGGAGTCTCAGAGTGGCTTACAAACTCCTTTCCCTTCCCCTCCCCACCCCACAACAGACACCCTGTGAGATAGGTGAGGCTGAGACAGCTCTCTCAAGAACTGCTCTTGAGAGAACAGCTCTGAAAGAACTTGTGACTGACCCAAGGTCTCACCAGCGGCTGCCTGTGGAGGCGTGGGGAATCAAACCCAGTTCTCCCAGATTAGAGTCTGCGCACATAACCACAGCACCAAACTGGTCCCAGGATGGGCGGGTCCCTGGCCATTCAAGGACCCACCCCCTCCAACAGAGGGGGAAAGAAGAGGAAGGGCCAGGAGCCGCAAAGCCCAGCTGGCCCCTTGGCCTTGCCCTAAGGTTGCCAATATCCAGGTGGGGACTGGGGATCTCTTGGAATTACAGCTGATCTCCAGAGGGCAGAGAGCCTTGAGAGCAGTGGACTTCAATCTGGCGAACCAGGTTTGATTCCCCACTCCTCCATAGGCAGCCAGCTGGGTGACCTTGGGTCAGTCACAGTTCTGTCAGAGCTGTTCTCTCAAGAGCAGTTCTCCCAGAGCTCTCTGTGCCTCGCCTACCTCACAGGGTGTCTGTTGTGGGAAGAGGAAGGGAAGGAGATTGTAAGCCGCTCTGAGACTCCGAGTGAAGGGTAGGGTATAAATCCAATCTCCTCTTCTTCTCCTGGAGGAAATGGCTGCTTTGAGGGGCAGCCTTCATGGCATTATACCCTGCTGAGGCCCCTCCCACTACCTTCCCTAGGCTCCACCCCCACATCTCCAGAGATTTCCCAGCTCGGAGCTGGCGACCCTACCTTGCGCCCTTGGGGGGGGCAGTGATTTTGGGGGGCCCTCCTGGACCTTTGCCCAGGCCCTCAAAGTCACAGTGGAATCAAGAGCAGTTTCATAGGACAGTTTGAGGATACAAGAAATGGCAGAGTGGCTGAAGCAATTCTTCCCTGCATGCCACAGTCACAAGCAGAGAAGGGCCTGTGTGCTGGGTCGCCAACCTCCAGGCGGGGTCTGGAAATCTCCCAGAATTACAACTTGATTTCCAGACGACAGAGGTCAATTTCCCTGGGGAAAGTGGCTGCTTTTGGAGGGTGGACTGTATGGCGTTGCACTGGGGTTGCCAGCTCAGGGTCAGAAAATACCTGGAGATTCGGAGAGTGGAGCTTGAGGCGGTCGGGGTCTGGGGGCCCGGTGCCATAAAGTCCAACTTCCGAAGCAGCCATTTTCTCCAGCTGAACTGATCTCTGTCACTTGGAGACCAACGGCAACAGAGCTGGAGGTTGGCAACCCTACACTGCACCCCACTAAAGTCCCTCTCCAGGCTCCACCGCCAGGTCTCCAGGAATTTCCCAAGACAGTTGGCAACCCTAGCATAACTGGAAGGCACACAAATCCCATTGCACAGCTGATGCAAATCTGTTCCATCTGCCACCAACAAACACGAGGACTCTGTAAAAAGCAGCCAGGGCCTCAGAGACCAGCACTGGACATTCAGGCATTTGGAAGCAGCTGTATTTCCACTGTACAGACAGAAAACTGAGGCACAGAAAGCATCGCCCTCCCAAAGCCAGTTTGCAAATGGTAACAACCCACACCTGTATATGTATGTCTCTGTATGCACACGTATGTGTGCATGCAAAGTGCTGTCAAATCACAGTCAACTTCTGGCGTCCCCAGTAAGGGGCTTTCAAGGCCAGTGAGAAGCAGAGGTGTTGTGTCATTGTCTTCCTTTGCAGATTTAGAGTCCAGTGGCCCCCTTTAAGACCAACAAAGTTGTATTCAAGGTATCAGCTTTCATGTGCACGCACGCTTTTTCACACAAAGCTCATACCTTGAGTAAAACTTTGTTGGTCTTAAAGGGGGCCACCGGACTCTAAATTTGTTCTACTGCTTCAGACCAACACGGCTGACCACCTGGATCTCTCTTCCTTTGCAGGGTCTTCCTTGGAGGTCTCCCTTCCAAGTATTGACAATGCTCAGTTTTCAAGATCTTACGAGACCAGGCTACGCCACCTTCCCTCCCAATCTTGTCGATACACATAGAAATTTGTCCCACTGTTTGAAGGGACTTGCTCTCAGGTGAGCATGCACAAGATTGTAAAAAGGTAAAGGTTCCCTTGCTCGAAAGCCAGTCGAATCCGACTCTAGGGTTGTGGTGCTCATCTCTGTTTCAAAGCCGAAGAGCCAGCGCTGTCCGAAGACGTTTCCGTGGTCATGTGGCCGGCATGACTAAACACCAAGGCGCACGGAACGCTGTTACCTTCCCACTGAAGCAGTACCTATTTATCTACTTGCAGTTTCTCGCTTTCGAACTGCTAGGTTGGCAGGAGCTGGAACTAGAGACGGGAGCTCACTCCGTCATGCGGCACCCTGGGTCTCGAACTGCTGAAACTACCGACCTTCCACAGCCTGCAGTTCAGCGTCTTAACCACTTGATAAATTTGCCCCACTGTTTGAAGGGACTTGCTCTCAGGTAAGCATGCGTAAGATTGTAGCCAGACTAAAATACTGACTATAGGTCTCGGCTTTACCAAAGGCACAGCTGCTGCGCCTTCACACACACTGAATAATGCACTTTCATCCCACATTCCATGCACTTTAGCGATAGTTTGTGAGTGAATTTTCCCATTTCGCACAGTAAAATCTCGCTGCAAAGGGCACTAGATAGCCCAGGATAACCTGATCTTGTTAGATCTCGGAAACTAAGTAGGGTCGGCCTTGGCTAATATTCGGATGGGCAACCTCCAAGGAATACCAGAGGCAGTCAACATCACACCACCTCTGAAACTTGCCTTAAAAGCAAGTCTAGCTCGCCACCTAGTGGTGCATAATGCTAAAGGAGCTAGCACTTCTGCCTGCCACACTATCTTAGGATCTCCTGGCTATACTACGCACAATGCCATACAATAATAATAATTAATTATTATTCTACCATCTCCAGTGAAAAGAGTTTCAGGTAACAGATGCTGAAGAGGCCTTGCTCTACCAGAGCCCCGGGAATAGTCAGAGCTCATTGTACTGAGCTAGTTCTATACTTTCAGCTGCACTTCTGTAAGTGCTCAAAACAGCTGCGTGCATTTCTCCAACACAATTATATCAAGTACAGACAGATGGAAAAGAAACTTCAACAATGAATGGCTTCAAATGGCTTTCCGACTCAAGCAACAATTCCTTCCACTGACAGGAGCCATGTTAACAAAAAGGGAATGTGTGACAGTGCTCTGGCGGTGGTAAGACAGCACTGTCAGGCCATAGCCGACTTCTGGTGGACCCCTGATGGTGTTTTCAAGGCCAGGGACATTCAGAGGTGACATGAGCACATGAAGTTGCCTTGTACTGAATCTGTCTACTGGCCCATCAGGGTCAATATTGTCTACTCAGACTGGCAGTGGCTCTCCAGGGTCTCAGGCTGAGGTCCTTGAAATCACCTATTACCTGATCCGCTTTAACTGGAGATGCCAGGGACCGAACCCGGGACCTTCTGCGCGCCAAGCAGACGCTCTACCACTGCACCACAGTGGCCACTGCCTGCCTCTGCATAGCGACCCTTGGTGGTTTCCTCACCAAGTACTGACCTGGGCTGATGCTGCTTAGCGTCTGAGATCTGACTAGTAATAACTAAGGAGCTGAATCCAGTTTTCCACTGGCGAAAGCGCCTCCCCATCACTGGAACAGAACTCTCTCGCCTCCGACCCTCCCTCCTGCAGCAGCCCACTGATAGCCCTGAAATACTGCTCCAGGGCCCACAGCAAGAAGGGGGAATCAGTGGAAATTACGTTTCCCCTTCCGTTAGTGGAAAACTGGGCCTGGATCAAACCCAACAACTTCCGTTACTGTACGTTTAATATGTTTACAGTGTGATGCTAAACATAATTTTACCCCCTTCTAGGTCCAGCCTAGAAGGCCAGATAACGAAACTGAAGCTCAAATACTTTGGCCACCCAATGAGAAGGGAGCACTCCCTGGAGAAGAAGACCCTGTTGATGGGAAAGATTGAAGGTCAAAGAAGACGGGGACGGCAAAGGACGAGATGGTTAGACAGTGTCATAGATGCAACGAACATGAAGTTGAGCCAACTTCAGAGGACGGTGGAAGACAGGAGGGCCTGGCGAGATCTGGTCCATGGGTTCGCGAAGACTGTGCAACTGAACAACAACAACAAGGTCAGCCTGCGATATTCGCAGCGGGGAGTATTCCCCGCGGCTCCCCCGCTGAAGCAGCAGGAGCTCCATGTGGAG